CACATGCACATAGTGGTGGCAGAAAAACACTGGCAACAAGTAGAGGGAAACGGGTAAAATACATGGAATAAGAGAAAAATGTATTGTTGTGCCTTTGGATGTCAGAATAAGAATGCAAATAATTTTTATAGAATACTGTCCTCAAAGATGCCATTTGAAGCTAAACGCAGACGTTAAACAGACAGACTATGGATGAAACCTGCTATGATTACCCTACTTTAAAAGCATACATTTTTAAGACATTTTTACATAACATTTACCTATTTTATCTCACAATTCTGAATAACTCGATTTAACTCAACAATTGCGAGTTTGTAAATTCTGAGGAGAAAAATCCAGAAGTGTGGTATTTAAACTCATGATTCTGAGTGGAAAAGAGAGAATGAGGAAAAAAAAGAGAGTTGTTTTCCCTTATCAGAATTGTGAGATATAATCTCGGAATTGCGAGAAAAATATAAACTCAAAATTACCTTTTTTATTCTTTTATTCCATGGCTTCCATAGACTGCTACTTTAAAACTGAAATTTTTCTGCCACCAGATAGGCTCCGCCCACAAAAAAAGTCATCACTGTTTGCAAACACCGAAATTGGTCTATAAGTAGCCTAAAAAAGGTTTACATATATCCGGAGTGCTATTCCAGCCTTGGTATATCCCATCATGCATCATGTCGTGAAATAAATCATGAGACTTTTTGCTGTGATCTCGTGAGAGATCATGGAAACCTTTCCAGTGTAAGTTAAATATTAACATAATAATTAGATATTACATAAAATTTGGTAGTAAAACAAAGTGTTGCATGTTTTCTTGGTGCAAAGATGAGTAGTGGTGATATTTATTTTGTACAACATTTGCAACTGCTTTTTATCACTTAAAGGCAGAGTAAGTGATTTCTGGTAGCCAATGTTGATATTTGAAATCACCAAAGCAAACACGCCCCTACCCCAAAAGGGTCTTGCCCCTATTTTGATAGCTCCGCCCCACACATACGTACACAACCCAGGCAACATTTAGTTCTGTGAAACAAAGTAAAACCAATGTTACACACCGTGTCTACGGACGTGAGCGGCGCGGCGCAACAAATCCCGACAGAAAACTGCTGCCGGGTTCTATTTATGACGTGCTGACACAAATTTCAAATGGTTTTCAACGGTTGTTTGATCGCGTCCAGTGTTGGCAGACTATAGCTGTTGTAGACACGGTGTTACTCACCTATTGAGAAGAAACAAACCAACCTCGGCGTCCGATCGCAGGCCTCCGCTCCTTCAGTTCTCTCCAGCGCTGGAAAGCTGATCCGATATTTACACGGGTCCTACTTCTTGCCTTATCGTTCCGCAGACGTTTTCCTCTTTTGTTTTTTATCCGCCATCTCTATCTTTCTGTCGCTCGGCTCGGCTAATGTCCGTCCCATGCACTGAAAGCTCTCTCCTCCACATCACGAGTAGACACGCCCCTTATTGCTGATTGGTTACAAGTTTGTTTTGCTATTCGGCCCGAATCAGTTTTCTAAAGTGTTTTTGAAAAATCACATACCCTGCCTTTAATTAGAAGCACCACAAATTAAAATGTGTCATGTTATAGGGACTACTGAACAGACATTTGGAAGTTGATTTAAAATGCAACGTATTTCAAATAAAAATAAAGCTATAAGTGCCTACCATGTTTAGATCACATGACCAAATACCAATCACATAATCTAACTTTCAGTCAACATATCAGCAAAAACATTTGGTTTTACGTGATCCTGAATCAGAATAAAGTCAAATCGGCCAGCTAAATGCAGACAAAAACTGCATATGCCAGACTTGCCTCGACATCAGTGTTCTTCAGACTGGCCGCTGTGGCAGCCGCCTCTGCTTCAAGTTCTCGCCTCACTGAAACACAACGACAAAATGTGACTAAAATTCCCTAATATTTTCTGATTTCTGAGTACAAAAAAAATGTAATAATCTACCCTGATTCCTTATGGCATCGTGGGACGTTTGCACCTTCGGCCGGTGCTGTTGCTCGATCCTGGCGAGGGCCGCGGCCCCTGCTCTGTGCGCACCCTCAGTGGCCGCTTTTCTGGGCGCTCCGTGAGGAGCCTGTGGGGCTTGAGGTTTAGAGCTGCAGGAGAAACCAAATATGTGACCTTGGAGCACAAAACCAGTCTCAAGTCGCTGGGGTATATTTGTAGTAATAGCCAGCAATACATTGTATGGGTCAAAATTATCGATTTTTCTTCCCACTCATATCTGTGCTTAAAACCGTTGCTGTAACCAATAACATCACTGAAGCAGCAGTGACTAAACCACTCCCACGTGACTAACTCGAGACCTTTACTAAGCCTGTTACCCTATCAGTACTTATAGCTATAAGGTTAAACTCACAAGCCGGATATTATTCTGTGTAATGTTAGTTAAAACAGTAAAAACACTGATACATTTAGCACACACTATACATGTTTCCACGCTTCATCTGCAGATATGCAGTCAGACAGGTATAGATGCACTTTGTTCAGATTTCTGTACATTACAATAGATTTCAGGTGTAAAATAATAGCTAACTTTCACTTTTAACAGTTTCAAATGCGAAAAAGTCTATAATAAGAAAACATGTTTTTCGATGTATCGTGATCTGATCATAAAAACTCATTATGTCTAATTAAGGTTCAGATTAATGTAAAAGTGTGGTTGTCATGACAGGTCTCAAGAACATCTGATCTTTGAACTGTTAACTGTTACCTGCCGTCATCTGTAAGTTTCTTTCCTGGCCCTACTGACTTGAATTTGATATCCTTCTTTAAGTCGTCGAAAAACTTCTTCATTCTTAGCGATACACTGTGTGCAAAAAATTTTTTTCAAAAATGAAAAATATGTTGTTCTGGTTTATTTATAACTGTCAGACACGCCACCACCCAAGCGACGTGTTCACAACAGGAAGAGGACAGACTCTCAACCGGAAACATGCTCATAACGCGATCGTGACGCAAACATTGGGTTTTAGCGACATCAAGCGGAGGGGAGTGACATCCTTAAAACATTATTACGAGCATTTTGTCATCATTATTATTATTATAAGGTGTGATTTGCTTTCCTCCCCTTGTCTGTCTATCTATCTATCTATCATCTAATTTAATTTATTTATGTAAAATCATATTTAACATGTATTTATTTATTTTCGTTTATTTTATTCATTAATTTGTTTACTTTGCTTCTGTTTACCATTTTTTTGTATGTATATTTTTCTTCTTCTTTGTTACATGTGAAACTTTTTGTTTATGCCTTTAATGTTCTTCTGAAGGTAGTGTAATTTCTGTTTCATTAATAAAAATAAAAAACGTTCTGTTCTACATGAAATTTTTCCATTTTGAAGGATGTACTGGCCTTCAAGAAGGTTCTTATGCATAAATTGAACTGTCAAAAAAAAAAAAATCCACATAATTCCAAAATAGTTAGTCATTTTTCAGCTTTACACTCCAGTCCCGTTCACTATATTTATTTATTTATTTACTATTTTATGAAAATAATATCTTTAAAAATTGACTTCTAAATTCTACAGATGATACAGGTGGGAAACAATAAAAAAAATCATATATATATATATATATATATGTAAGATGTCATTATACAGTCTGTGAAACAAATCTTTTATAAGAAATAAATACATGTGTTTAATATTTACTGTTTTATTTAAAAATCTTAAGCGTGAGTATATGCCAAATATTTATTCCTCAAAACTACTTAAAAATAATAATAGTAAAAATACTTTAAAATAATCGTTCGGGAATTAAAGGGTTCATATGATGCAATTTCATTTTTTCCTTTCTCTTTGGAGTGTTACAAGCTCTTGGTGCATAAAGAAGATCTGTAAAGTTGCAAAGACTAAAGTCTCAAATCCAAAGAGATATTCTTTATAAAAGTTAAGAGTCAGCCACGCCTACCTAAAACGGCTCGTTCTAACACGCCCCCACATACCTACGTCACGATCTGGGAAGATTTGCATAACACCGCCCAAATGTTCAAGCAAAGAAAGAAGGCGTAACTTTTATCCTCGCTGTAGTATTGTTGTTGCC